ATAATAGAGTGGTGTGAAAAAAAAATACAGAAAACACAAAAATTTGAAAATTATGCTCCTACAAAAGTAGCAAAGATAAAAATAAGTTTAAAAAAAGTTAAACAACTTTTTTTTTTTTCAATTTGATGTCACCAATCTTGTAAATATCGGCAAAACCTGTGGTTACTTCATCAAAATAAAACAAAAGTGTTCAACTGTATCAACCCTGTGCCTTGGAAATACAGCCTTGTTTCCAGGCAGAAAGATTAAAGAAAAGATATATGTGCCTTTGAATTGCATGAAGTTTCACATTAACTTCAAAGCCTGCAGGAGGAAGAAGAATCAATTTATTCTCAAACATAAAGGTGTGTATATAACAGGAATGTATCTCCGAGTGGACTGTTATGGTGGAACGGATTCAGACACAAAGAAGAGTAACGCTCCTGGTGTGCAGTGTTGACACATTGTTGGCTTATCTGCAGGATTGCTACCATAAATATATATAGCGGTGTTTGACAGCTGATAAGCTTAAAATCACATTCGCACTTGTAGGTCAGTGTGCCTATAGTGCCGTCCACCCATTTACAGCTCGTATTATTCACCTTTCCGCACAGTTCAAGCTTTTCTGTAGTCAAGACATCAGCCTGCCACAAATAAGAAGTGACTAAACCGATTGAAGTCAAGATCGCTGACTGCATAGGAAACCAGATCTTGAGATGTAATACTATATTGATCTCTTTTTCTCTCGAACACACGGCAAGCGCCCTGGTAACCAGAGCATGGCGGCTGGCAGAGGCAATGGGGGAAACAGAAAGTAGCCTGTAAATCCTGTTTACTTTGCGGCGAATCTGTAAAGTGGGATAAGAAGCACAAAGAGCAGTCAGTGGTGCATGACACGCAGACATATGGCAGGGAGAGGCGTCCAGCTGTTCCGCTGTCCTGGGGTTACAGTAATGAGCCGGAGGCTTCATTGAGCAGACTGAAGCCTCATCAATCCCTTTTCACCAGTAAGCCTCAACACTTCCAAACGCCATTCCCGCTCACCTCATCTCAGGCACAAACCAGCCTCAGACAAGCCTCCGGAGCATCTGCTTTTAGCATCCTTGACATTATATTCTGTGGCTCAAGCCTCTGCTCTCCATGGCCTCTCCAGATGGACCACAGTTCAGCATCAGCTCATGCCAGCTGAATTCCATCAGGTAACCGAACCATTGGATTCCAAGTCTATGGCACTTTTTGTGGATAAAGGATCGAATTAAAGGAAATATACAAGGGCTTGAGGTGGACAAGACCATTTGGGGGTGGTGTGATTCAGGAATGGTAACCACAAGGTTGATGGTTTGATACCTGCAAGAAGCGAGCCATGAGTCACTACCATTTTGGAACCACATGGCGCCAAGCTATGGCGTAAAAGTTGCAAAAATTAATTCTTATGGTTCTGGTTGTATGGAAATAAATAACCTAAAGAATTTAAGATTCCAAGTCTTTGTCGAAATGCACTGAATTGGAATTACATTGGCCAAGTGTAAGCAAGCTCACAACTTACTTACAATCAATCTATCTACTTCTCTTCTCCGTAAGGCCTACAAACCTTCAAACTTCAAAGTTCAAACTTTTTTCAAAGCAATCAAAAGCGGTTTCAACAAACTTGCTTTACCAGTTTGTTACAAACTAATTTAATTGTACTATTTCCTTACATTCATGTTCGAAATGCAGTTCTATATCCTGTTTGCTAACACCATTTTAATTCAATTTAAATCAGAATCAGAAATAATTCAGGGTTCTTTTCTTCATCTTAAAAACTAGTTCTTAATGAAGGTAATTTTTAAATAAATGAATACTTTTATTCAGCAAGGATTCCAAATTGATTAAAAGTGACAGTAAAGATATTTATAATGTTACAAAAATATATTTCAAATAAACACTGTTCTTTTGAACCTTCTATTCATCATAGAATCCTGAAAGAGAAAATGTATCACAGTTTTTTCAAAAATATTATGCAGAAAATTGTTGATAATAATAAGACATAAGAAAAACAGTGATAACAATAAGACATGATTCCAAAATGAGCACCAAATCAGCATATTAGAGTGTTTTTTGCAGGACTACGAGATACTGAAGCCTGGAGTAATGACTACTGAAAACTCAGCTCTACCACCACAGGAATAAATTAAAATTTTAAATATTAAAATAGAAATCAGTTTTTTTTTATTGAAATAATATTTCACAATATTACTGTTTCTAATGGATTTGTGATCAAATAAATGCAACCTTGGTGACCCTAAACAACCCCAAACTTTTGAAAGGTAGTGTATATCTAAAAAATAGAATATTTATGAGAATATTGGTTGATATTTTGAGGTAAAATATTGCAATACTATGAAATATGATTTTTCCCCCAACCACAATCCTGTATGTCATGGACGATAAACTTTAAAAGTGTGGTAATTACAACTGCAAACAGCATGCAAACCACAGCACAAGCAAAACAACAATCCCAGCGTACTTTCCTTGAGAATCCCACAGATAAGCCTCTCCGACAAGCACTTCACAGCTGGTGGATACTAAACACGACTATAATAAGACATGATTCCAAATGAGCACCAAATCAGCATATTAGAGTGTTTTTTGCAGGACTACGAGACACTGAAGACTGGAGTAATGACTACTGAAAACTCAGCTCTACCACCACAGGAATAAATTAAATTTTTAAATATTAAAATAGAAATCAGTTTTTTTTAATTGAAATAATATTTCACAATATTACTGTTTCTACTGGATTTGTGATCAAATAAATGCAACCTTGGTGACCCTAAACAACCCCAAACTTTTGAAAGGTAGTGTATATCTAAAAAATAGAATATTTATGAGAATATTGGTTGATATTTTGAGGTAAAATATTGCAATACTATGAAATATGATTTTTCCCCCAACCACAATCCTGTATGTCATGGACGATAAACTTTAAAAGTGTGGTAATTACAACTGCAAACAGCATGCAAACCACAGCACAAGCAAAACAACAATCCCAGCGTACTTTCCTTGAGAATCCCACAGATAAGCCTCTCCGACAAGCACTTCACAGCTGGTGGATACTAAACACGACTGAGCTCATCCAAAAATCCCATCCACAATCCCACCCAACCCCACCATTCACAGAGAGAAGCATCACAACATTATCTTATTAACCTCGCAAAACTTCTCTCAAACGTTCTCAACATGGCCAAGTAATTTACATGCTGGACATGCCGGTGGTAGCATATGCTTAATGCGCTGGGTGCATTGGCAAAGAAAATGGAGTGGTCATTATCATTCTTAATAGCATTTTGAGTTAAATCGATGTAGTTTTAATTGCAGCTGCACACTACAAGCGTCCCATGACACAATGAGACTGCTTCTGCAGCTAGAGGACAGTGGAGGGGGACTTTCAATGCTAAATCTTGTTTTAGTCGGGGGGTAGAAGGATGGCATGGTGGGGTTGGGGGTTAAAGGCTTTTCCTAACGCTGCTGATCTCCGGCTCATGATGTGCAGAGATGGAGCTGTTTTCCATTAAGCTAAAAGTGGAATGAAGTCAAATCTGAAACATGCATTAATTTGTTTATTTGGTGTTCCGTGTAAGACTCCCCACAGCAGACACAGGTCAAATAAAAAATATCAGTGGAAGCACAGCTTGTCGAAGATGCCTAATAACTGGGAACATCACAATAGACTTCTGCTGTCATTGTAGATTATTGCATGCTTGATTTTTAAGATCATGGCAACACTTTTAATAAGATTCTATTCGTTAACTGCATTAGTTAACGAACTAATGAAGAAAAATAGGCTACTAAAGCATCGCAGTTAAAGTAACTTTTAACATTTACCAATACTGTAGATGATTAAAATCAAAAGTTGTATCTCTTAATATTTATTTAGACCTAACCTATCATGAACGAACAACGAATGGCTTTATTTTGATTAACTAATGTTAACAAAGATTAATAAATACTGTAACAAATGTATTGCTCATTGTTAGTTAATGCTATTAACGAAGAGCGGATGGAACCTTATTGAAAAATTATACCACAAGAATTTTATAGATTTTCTGACGAATATTTCCTCTGCATAGCAGGTACCAATCCTTCAAATTAAAAGATCTAAATAATTACACTTATCTGTGTAAAAATAAAATATTATGAAATATTAAATGTCAATAAATGACCATGACTTCTCCATATATCCCTGACATTAAAAATATATAAAATATAAAAAGTAACATAAAACATCCCTAATATTTCCAATGTGAATATGCATACACATTTATATAAAAAAACACTTAAAAAGCTATTATTCATATGCACCAAATATGAATCATAAAGGTCTCCAAGTCTATAAAAATGTAACAGCTGTTGTACAGCAAATCATAAACAGTTCACCTAAAACAAATATGTCATCATTTACTCAAGGCAGAATGTCACAATTCACTTTCATTTAATGTAAAAAAATAAATAAATAAAAAGATGCACTGAATGGTGACAGACTGCCCAAAATTTATTTTGTGTTCCAATAAGGAAAAAAAGTCAAAAAGGTATTGATAAATGTGAGGGTCATGAGAAAACAGTGAACAGTCACTTAAGAGTTGCAAACATAGTTTGCAAACGATTCTCTTGTTCTCAACACTTGGTGCTGACAGGTACAATTTCTAGTGTCATTTACTTCTAAGGGTTTAAACGCACAGTGTTACAAGTTTTACAAAGTAGCAAATACACAATACAGCCAACCCATAACTAAGAAGTCTTATATTACAGGAGGATGTTATACAAGCACCAACATTCATTATATTATGTTGATGTCATTCATGCGTTGCTGTCACATATTATTGATCAAACGGACCTCTATGCACAAAGCTGCACGTAACTTTTGTGTGCGCGCGTGCTTTCCTGGCCTTAATGTGGCCTGATGATGCTGCAACGTGAAACAGTAGAAAAACGATGCATATAAACACAGATGTGTTTAATGACACCCGATGTGCTTGTCTTACCGGGAGAGTAAAGCTTGGCGAGCTGTCGGGCCCCGGCGTGCTGCGGGCCCCAGCGAGGCGCGGTGCTGCGCGCAGACGCCCCATGTTCATTCCCGTTCGGATCCTCCTCTGCCATAGACCGATGCCTGATCTCCGTCTCTGACAGTAGCGCCGCAGCCATGCTCCCTTATGATGGCCAGTTTTCAGAGAAAATGCATTAACAATGACGCTGTATCGTGCATTTAGTAACTAATACACAAGGGTTTAGGTTTAGCGCTGAATGACACACCTTTCCTGGTAAATCCACTGAGGTTCCTACTTCAGTGAAACACACCCGGAACTAAAATACGCACGAACTGCCTGTCTGATACTTCGCTAGAATAAACGGAGATATTATAATAAGTATTGCTTACCTTGTTTCATCTCATGAGCTAAATGACTGATAAATATTGCTCCCCACAGGGCATCCGATCCAGGTCTTTAAACTGTCCGATAGCCCGAAGAAAGTGAATATTTGCAAAACTTTTCTTGTGCTCTGTGGTGTGGAGTGTTCTTAGGGACAGTCGTAAAATGTTTGCGTCGTGACGCGAAACAATCGTTGCAATCACTGGCTGTTACTCTGGGAGGATTAATAGAATTAACCAAATGATATTATATTTTAAATGTTTACTAACGATTTTTTTTGTGTGTATGTGGTTATACAGGTGTTGCCCATTAAATGTTACAATCGTACAAAACTGCGCGGTATTTTATTGATGGTCCCTAACAGCTCATGCGAGTCTATCATAAGACTTTGAGACGCTGATAAGAGAAACAAGCATCTTGAGGCGAAATTGAGTACACACGACTACTGTACTACCTGTTGATAAGAAACAGATAAGATAATCATATCATCTCATGTTTATGTTAATCTGTTTGATTATGAGGTACTGAAACGCTCAGTCACAATATAATACAAAATAATAATATAAATTATATCACTGTATATTAATATATTTTTTTCTGTTTGTTTTATCGGATGTATAATAATATAGTATAGTATAATGGAATAGAATAGAATATAGGCTAATCAACAAAACAAACAGAAAAAAATATATAATTTATAACAGTATGTCAAAAAACTAAATTGTATAGTCAATTGTAATTGCATGTACATCATTGAGATTTGTAGATTAATTTATTTTTTAACTTGCTAGCTAATGATCTGTTAAGCATTATATAATGTGGTAATGTTGGTGAAATTTCTTAATTATAAAGTGTTTTAGAGAAAATCTATCTTGTTATATCAAGAGTCCTTGGGATGCTGGGTGTCTGTATGTAGGTCTGTATAACCCTCTGAAGCTGTGAAGATTGGCAATGCCTAGACAGACAGTAATATAAATTATATCACTGTATATTAATATATTTTTTTCTGTTTGTTTTATCGGATGTATAATAATATAGTATAGTATAATGGAATAGAATAGAATATAGGCTAATCAACAACACAAAGAAAAAAATATATAATTTATAACGGTATGTCAAAAAACTAAACTGTATAGTCAATTGTAATTGCATGTACATCATTGAGATTTGTAGATTAATTTATTTTTTAACTTGCTAGCTAATGATCTGTTAAGCATTATATAATGTGGTAATGTTGGTGAAATTTCTTAATTATAAAGTGTTTTAGAGAAAATCTATCTTGTTATATCAAGAGTCCTTGGGATGCTGGGTGTCTGTATGGGGGTCTGTATAACCCTCTGAAGCTGTGAAGATTGGCAATGCCTAGACAGACAGATAGATTGGTTAACTGATTTGCTAACTTAATCATATCCTCAAATATTTTAAATAATTCTACCACAAAATACAAATGCAGTTTCAAACTTTGCCTCATTTGGAAATCTCCATTTACCCTTAAAAAGCACATGCTCATAATACAGCACAGATTTGATAAACTGCAGTACAATGAAATACTTAAACAACTGAAACACCAGTAGCCTATTAAGGGCATCTTTCAGTACTATTGGGGATTTGTGGATGATTCATAAAATCACATGCTAGTTTTCAAGTATTTAGGAGTTACTCAGATGGTGTGCTGAACCCTGTTTCCCAAGCGGACAGGTTCAGAGGACCCCCGGGGCCCATAGTGTATCGATGCGTTCCGATGGCTGATTTCTGGGAACAGCACCGACTTTCTGTCCGGCTCAAGTTATAAACACATGGATGCAATTAAAGCAGAAACTGCACTGGTAAAAGAAACAGTACTTTAAATAGATGTTTCTGCCCTTATTCAGTGAGTCACAGGCATTAAATCATCTGATGATCAGTGTTGGGTTTTTCCTTATTTACAGCAATCATAATGCTAAATATTCAGGGAAATTTGCATCATAGTTCTGCATTATGATTTTTTTTTTACATTATACAAGATAAAATCTTTCCCTTTAAAACCTGATGAATAAATTTGATGAAGTATACCAATGACAAGTGCCATTTTCCCATGATTTTCAGATTGTCATATTTTACAGTTGAATTCATGTGACGGCGAGCAGTGTTATAATCACCATATAAAATTGGCAAAGACTCAAGTCTTTGATTCAGATCCTCTTGCACTGAATGAAACACTATGAAAGCAGCATGAATCATGGTTTGTGATGCAATATCGAATTACTGTTCTCCTCTCCTGCAGATGAATCATAGTAGACTTGAATTTGTGTAAAAGTTGTTACCACGTTAACATGTATAACAATATCCACCGCAAATATTTTGATTATTTTTTTAATGTAAAAATAAACTAAACCTGTGTTAAGCATGTTCACACCCGTCCAAGAGTTTTCATCATTGTCATTTTATTTTTTTTAATGCAAATGATCTGTTTTATGAGTAGCATTACTGTAGCTCCCAGATATTTATTGTTAAATAGAAAGCATGACAAGAAGAATGGAGCTCACACAGCATCAGGGGAACAGAGCCACTCTGCGCTTTGAAAGAACACTCACTTCAGATGCACGGATTCCCTTTATTCATGATTTATTTATTTGTTTATTTTCATCTGTACTAGTTTATTGCAATCTGGTTAATTCACATTTAAAAAGCAGACATCATCCAGTTGCACTGAAATCAATGATATTCATTTTTTACAACATCCATAAGGCCCATGTACTGGAAAATCCAATCAAAACCATTATGTTTTTAATTTTTTTCTTTATATGTTTTTTGTCTTTTTACTGTAATTAGAAAAAAGAAAATATATAACAATAATAATAGAAAGGAAAAATATTACGACTGGCAAGCAATCACAGCACAGCACAAGTACCTATTTACTGCAAGAAATAAATGGTACAAATCAATCAACAAATAAAAAAGGTCTGAGAATATATGCATTGAAAAGAACAAAATTGGCACGTATGAAGTTTGATACATGAAGAAACAGAGGACAAGATATGTATTTCTAGAGATTAAAATCAGGCAGAGGGTGTCTTTTCCTTCCGGTTTTTTCCCCCCCCATCTTTTGTCCCCAAAAAAATCAAGGAAAAACTAAAAGAAAACGGGGAGAAAATAAGGAACACATAACCAGGAAGAAGGGACGATAAAAAATACTGCACGTAAAATACCTTTTTCTCTCCATCTTCTTTTTTTCCTCTCCTTTTCTTTTTTAATAGCATATCCCATTAATATTCATTCCCCACCGTTCGTAATAGCTGCGCCTGGTGGCGGAATCGTTAGAGTTTTACATGTGAGTAGCAAATGACACTTTGATTGGCTGTGATGTTGAAATGTTCCTCCCCCACCGGGCCTGGGTCGGGGTTCTAGGCTGAACCGGGAGTCCTGCGGGGCCCGGTCTCACTGTGCGTGCTGGCTCAGTGTGTGGTTCTGCAGGGGAACAGAAGAGAACACATGAGGAGAGAAATAATAAGCTACGTGCCCACACCTCCACCCGTCTCCTTCGCTCTCTCCCTCTATCCATCTCTCTTTCCATTTACCCACCAGGCCTGTCCGTCCATCTCAAGGCTAGCAGCCCCACTTTGACAGAGGAGTTCGAGCTCTGCAGCCACGAGCGAACACCTTCCTTTCTTCCCATTTTCTTTCTTCTCCACACCCTCCCATTAAATTTTGGGCACATGTGCATTTGCGATCCCATTCATCCACCCACGCGCACACGCGCCACACTTCCGCACCGGGCAGAGAAACATAACATTCGTCCTCCGCTTGATTTAGAGTTCTCCGTTTCTAATGCAAAAACACTCATTTGTTTATACTGGAGTATTGGATACATGTTTATGAATCTTTAAAATCAGCACAATGCCTTACGAGGCTCTCGTTCTATGGACTCCTGAGAACAGAACATACATTTATAATAAAATATCAAATCTCTCCGTATTGAAGTGTAGAAGAAAAGTAGGAGAGAAAAGAGTTTTGTCAAATTACACTCTTAAAAAAAACAAAGGTTTCAAAAAGGGTGTTAAAAGAACCTTTCAGTGAACAGTTCTTAAAATAACATTTTTTTAGTATAAAGAACATTTTAATAATCCAAAGACCCTTTTTTTCCCCCAACCCTTTTGTCCAATGTAAAGGTTCCATGGATGTTAAAGGTTCCTCATAGAACCATAGATTCCAATTCCTATTTTTAAGAATGTACACTTTAAAAAACTGGAAATTGTTGAAACAATTTTCACTCAGAAGTTGCTAGTGAATTTTACAATTGATGACAAAGAAATGGCAAGTAACACATTGAATTGAACATGAAATTTTGATGTAGAATGACTGAAATAGTATTTTCTTGTAAAACGTACTGCAAAACACTTTAATATAAAGGTTACAAAGTGGGGTTTTCTCATCAGTGCCGTAGAAGAACCATTTTTGGTTCCCCAAAGAACCTTTCAATGAACAATTCATAAAATAATAATTTCTTAGTTTAATATTTTGATGATCTAAAGAACCTTATAGTGGAACCCTCAATGCCAGTAAAGAACTTTTATTTTTAAGAGTGAAATCTTTGTTTTATTTACAATTTAAAAAATCATCATACATTGTACGCACCACTGTGCACAGAGGAAGCCATAATGGCCTAAAAAATGTCTTAAAACCAGGATCACATACACAGATCAATCAGTCGTTGAGTGAGGGGTTAAACAGGAGCAGATATGCACAGGCTAAATGGTTATTGTGTTGCCAGCTCTCGGCAGCCCTGCTTTTCCGCATGCTTTTCCACATGCTTTTCCGCATGCTTTTCCGCATGCTTTTCCCTGGACCATAAACCCAATTCCCAGAGAAGAGCCGGCAATCATCCCACTTTCCCTCTCAAAGCTCCTTTCCCAGATTAATCTCTCCAAGAGAGATAGGCTGTTTTTATGCCCCGATATAAAAAAAAGAAAAAAAAAACGGAAAGGGGGAGACAAATCTAAGGATTAAACATGGTTTTTCGTTGATAAATACTTATTTTTATTCTTCGTCCTCTTATCTTAGTGCACATATTTTGCAAATGATTTCTGGCAAAGGGGATGGGCAGTTCCATCCGAGGAAGGCCAAATCACTGGGTCTTAAAACTCCAGACCGAATCAATGGCAGCCTG